AAAATGTTACTTCATTTCTAACTGAAACACTGCAAGTACTTTTAAATCATGATATTTCTTTAACTACCCTTTACTGGACTAATCTTGGTAAATTATTGAATAGTTAAGTTTTTATAGGATAATCAGTTACGTTAACAGAGAAAATGTCACGTTGTATAGAAAAGGTTTGTGTTAGGAGGATTCATGTTCTTTATTCGTACATGCATTCTGATTTAACTGAAGTTTTAACATCAGTAACTGAATTACAAGAAGGTCCTCGTGTTGGCCTTTGCCTACTATGACATGGTAATAATAGTCATTGTCATCTTACTTTCAGCTTGTGTTTTTATATTTGTGGTTAGGACAAAAAAGAATTGTAATAGTATTGTTTTCTGTCTTAAAATACTGAAAAACCCAATACCAGAGCTAGAATTTTTAGTTTGTAGTTACATTTTAATAATAATTCTTCAGATGATGTAAATAATGAAACATCAACATAAAACTAAATATTGTCACTGGGAAACAAGACCATTTACATAAGGACTTTTGTTTTTAGTGTCATAAAATACCTTGATAACGTAGTCCTGTTGTCACTGGAAACAAGACCATTCACACAAGGAATTTTGTTTTTAGTGTCATAAAATACCTTGATAACGTAGTCCTGTTGTCACTGGGAAACAAGACCATTCACACAAGGAATCTTGTTTTTAGTGTCATGAAATACATTGATAATGTAGTCCTGTTGTCACTGGAAACAAGACCATTTACACAAGGAATTTTGTTTTTAGTGTCATGAAATACATTGATAATGATGTCCTGTTGTCACTGGGAAACAAGACCATTTACACAAGGAATCTTGTTTTTAGTGTCATGAAATACATTGATAATGTAGTCCTGTTGTCACTGGGAATGTTGATGACCAACATCGTTTTTGCATGTACTTCAACGAAAGTTAAAACGGGTGACAGGTGGTTAACAATGATGATACAAAGTTATTCAGTTCAGAAAAGTAAAGGTACATTAATTTTCTGATGCTGACCAACTGTGTACTATAGTATCCAAGATTATTTACGAATCTAATTAATCATGAATTATGTAGCAGAACCACCCTTTCTCTGTTTGTATTAGCGAACTATTTTTTTGTCCACAGCATGTAGATGAGGAAAACTCCTATCTCTGTGGCTACCTGAAAATAAAGGGATTGACTGAAGAGTATCCAACTTTAACCACCTTTTTTGATGGTGAGATTATTAGTCAGAAATACCCGTTCTTGACTAGGAAATGGGATGCTGATGAAGAGGTTGATAAGAAACATTGGGTAAGTATAACATGGTGGATGATAATGTTCTGTGAATTATACTAGCTGTAAATTACAACTGTGAAAAAATCAGTGTTACAGCATACTTTGTTGTTGGGTAGGTTCTTTTGGTAAAAATAATACCATGTTTAGTGCATATAATGATAATGAGTTCTTAAAAACTTCTTTGCTAACAACTTTTAGGTATTCAAGCCTTCAACTCAGTTGCTAGAATGAGGGTCTGGTACACTAGTTTTATTCTGTGTTTGAATTGTTAATCTGATGCTAGTGTTCCTCTGGTAAACTAGTTTTATTCTGTGTTTGAGTTGTTAATCTGATGCTAGTGTTCCTCTCGTACACTAGTTTTGTTCTGTGTTTGAGTTGTTAGTCTGATGCTAGTGTTCCTCTGGTACACTAGTTTTGTTCTGTGTTTGAGTTGTTAATCTGATGCTAGTGTTCCTCTGGTAAAAAACTTGAGAACACATCCAAAAAATGTCTTAATGAACATTGGTGCCACTAATTAGTAACAATAGGGCATGAAGGGAATCTGCCACTGGGTTTAATAAGGAATTCACTTACCCTAAAGATAAGTCCCGAGGATAGGCTTTGTTTGGCAGTGGTGAATAATGTGATGATTTGAGTTCTTAAAACAACTTTTAGGTGGTTAATCATTTAACTCAGTTGGTAGTGTTTAGTAGTTTTATCCCATGTTTTGCTGCAAAGTAACTTCATATTTATTAGTTTCAATTGTCACCACAAATTGTCACCAACCTCTACCATGAAGACCCAGAATTGAATTCCGGCCATTACTACAACAACCCAAACATAGGATTAAACTAGTGTCCAACTTCTTTGAAAAGAATGGATTAACTTAAATATTATGTCAACAGGGGATAGAGAGAGCTCATATAATCCAAACTCTGAACGACTTCTTATTAGTCTCATGATAATCCAGGTTAAAAGAATGAGGACCCACATGAGATATTTTTAATAAGAGTTTACAAATTAACATGTTGAAGGTTCTTCATAAGTTTCCTTCTATTAAAGAACTTTGGAGTCGAAGACAGATTCATAAAGACATAAAATATCTTGTAAAATCTGTTAAAGAATTAAGTGTGAAGCAATGTAAAAACCACAATCAATAACCCAAACCTTTAGAGAAAATAAAATGGTTGCAGGTATTATTTAACTGCTTCTGCTGCCATGCATCATGACCTGTTCAACAGTTTGTATACA